ATGAGATCTCCATGAGGAGGTGGACTTTTGTCTGTTTTGTTGACTGCTGTGTTCCTGGTGCCTAGAGCAGCATCCACACATAGTAGGCCCTCAACAGAGGAGAAAGGAAGGAGAGAAGAAGGAAAAAGAGGCCAACCCCATGAAAGACCCTGGAATGTGGCTGGCATGCCTGGCTCACGGACGCCGTGATGGTGAGTAACGATTTTGGAGATAAATCACGAACAGTAAAGAACACATAACTGAAGGGTAGAGAAACTAATGTACCTGTTGAGTTGTGCCACCTCTAGGCTATTTCCTCTGTACTGGTTTGTCCCTGTGTTTCTCTGTGGTCACTAAACTGAAGCTCTGCGGTTGCCTAGTAGTGTTTCTGGAAACATCCCAATAAGGTACTTCCCTAAACCACTCAACTCATCTGCATAAGATAGCACCAAAGCTGGTTATTTAAAACCCCAACTGCCAAATGAAATGTCAGGAAATCCCCATTGGGGGATTACATGGATGATGAGGTGGTGGGGGGCAATAATCCCTCCATTCAGGATTATTAGGTGCTGAGAATGATAATAAGGCCATTCAACCACTATAATTATCCTCGCCTTTAAAAGAGCACACAGTGGACACACAGAAATAACTATCTTCCTTTGAGGGGAGTCAGGGTGGCTCAGTCAGTTGAGGGCTCAGCTCTTGATTTCGGCTCAGGTCGTGATCTCAGGATGGTGGGATCGAGCCCTGCATCAGGGTTCTGTACTCAGCAGGGAGTGTCCTGGAGATTCTCTCTCTCTCTCTCGACCCCTCCCCTTGCTTGATTATGCTCTCTCTCTCAAATAAATAAATCTTAAAAAAAAAAAAAAAATCTTCCTTTGATTACCAACTTTTTTAGATCACCAGCTCTGAGTTGTCACATTTCCAAACTCCTGATGTACACAGAGTTTTGTGCACAGGCTTTGGATACAGACAGTCCTAGATTTAGATCCTGGCTCTTAACATTTATTAGCTTGATGACCTTAGGTAAGCCATTAAAACTTCTGGGCCCTGATTTTGTTCTGGGAAATGTAATGATTAAAAACAACTATAATAACTCTAATAAATACAACCATAATCATAGCAGGGAGTCCATGTTAGGTGCTTATGCCTGCCACATATTTCTGGGCCTGACTGAAAGTGATAATTACATAGTTAATCAAATAATGTGTCAATCAAAAAAAAGGGCGAGGTCATGCAAGAAAGCCTGGGTGAAAGTTTGGACTTGCCCTTGAGCCCTATGAAAGGAAGAGAGAGCCCATCCCACAGGCCTTTAAGAATCTTGGCTTCATGGCCTAGGCAGGTTAGCATGTGGGTATGGACATCGTCGGCCCAAACAATGTGTGAGTATGTCAAGTTCTCATTTGGAGTTCAATCTCTATTGTGAGATGGATGGCATACCAGATACCATTCAGTGTAGAACTTATCCATTAGCCTTGTGTTCACAAAACAATCTCCTGATTCTATGTGATTTCTCATGTAGGCCAACTTCAGGGAGTCAATACACCCAACGAATTCTCCAAAGTATTTCCAGGCCCTGATATAATTATTGCTCGCTCCTAATAAGTTGATGTTGATTATGATTCGACTTCCCAAATAACTTGACAATAATGACACAGTGAGCTGTTTATGCCAAAATAAATATTAGAGTCTATACAGTATTTCATTTTCATTGCAAGTTGAGTCACAGTTTGTCATTTATAGCTTAGTAATCATGGGCATTGGTTATCATGAGTTGGTCCTCTGAGCCAGATGGTCACTGGACAGTTAATAAGGTCTTGGAGGCTGGTGATCTTCTTAGGGTCATACTCAGTGACACCTTTGCCGACTACCCATTTGCCTTCCCTTCTCTACCCCCTCTACCTGTTCCAAACCTTTTCTCCCTCTACAGATTTCTACAGAAAGCTAAGTAAGGTTAGGATTCAATGACAGCAAAAGTGGGACGTTCGGTAAACAAAAGGAGGGTGATGATATTGATTGTATAGTCGGGAAAACCCGGACAGGGAAGGAGAATTTCAGTTGGGCCTTGAAGGATGAGAGGATTTCCATAAGAGAAGAAGGGAGAAGACAGATGTGAGGCAGATCGATGAAGATTACAGAGACCATGAGAAGCAAGGAAAGGGGAAGAGTCTAACATGATTCACAGGTGTTTCACTGAGGCCACCAGGTGAGTAACGGTGATGTTGCTGAGAAACAAGTCTATCTGTGAGGGCACTTAGGAGAGACAAAATTCTGTCAAAATAAGTTGAGATCAGGTTTCTGTGGACTATCCAGTATGGTATGAATCCGGGGCCCAAGAGAAAGTCTGGAGAATCCTATTCTCACAAATGTATCCTTTATTCTAAACCTACTTTCTTCTGTTTTGGTTTTAGGGTTGGTTGAAGCACCTGCATTGTGACCATTCCAGGTTCCATGTGGCCTCTATGTTCTCACATCCCTTGTTCCTCTTCTCTCTTAATTTTCTTCCTTGCTTTCTCATTCCTTTTCCCCATTACTGTAAGCCCGCACCTCACTTCATTGCTGACCCTGGCAGGACTGGAAAAAAACTGGAAGACATTCAGACAACTCCATTATTTGAGGTCTTATCCTACTGCTGCAGGCTCAGCCTTGAAGTTGCCCTTGGACATAAAACATGTGAGACAAACATCAGTGGGTAACCCGACCACAGATGTCCCTTTCTTTACCCCTCCCCACTCTGAAAATCTACAAACAAAATCAGCTACACCAAAGATACTCAGCAAATATGATTGTCCTTGTGGTACACCAGGCTTGTCACATGCCAACCCTTTCTTCCCTCATTGCTTCTCCCATCCCATGAAAGTGATAATAGCCTGTCCACTATTCATTAGGAAAGAAAAAAAGATGACCCATATCCCAGATACAGATTCACCTACCCTAAAACTCACATGACATGGATTCACCAGGACTCCCATCTTCATTGAAAAAAAGGCAGAGAAGAACACATTCAGATTTAAAGCTAGTATCGGACTTGGGCTGAAAAGTCTATACCTGTCTTAATCTCCCTGTTTTCAGTTAATATCATACAGAAAGAAATTTCATTTACAGTATGTTTCTTTCCAAAAAAAAACCCAAACAAATAAACAAAAAAGTCTGATTTTAATGAAATCATAAACTGAAGAGAACTCACAATAAAGACACTATACTAACAAAACTATACTAACCTGAATGCACACATTACTATCATTGATTTCCTCATACACAAATAGTGATTGAGTACATGCTATGTGTCAGGCATACGGCAAGGCCCTAAGAAAACAAAGACAAATTAGATGTGACTCCCCTAGACCTACCCATAGACCAACTTATAAAACCTAGTGGGGAAGATAAGCAAGGGAGTGGCTAACTTCTATGCCATGTAATAAACTCTAGATCCTCAGGTAGTGGGAGAAGCCTACCCAATATGGTGGAAGGGAGCTTAAAAGGCGGACAGGTACAGCAATGGATTTGACCACATGTGATCCTATAGGTCTGAGTAGTAGCAGCCCAGGCCCTCCGACCTCTGCAAACAGGCAACCAAGCAGATACATGGCACTCAAGTGGCCATGGGAGGATCAGTCTGTTTCTACCTTGTACATCCTAGGATATGAAAAGAGAAGCAAACGGGTACCTGGGTGGCTCAGTTGGTTGAGCGACTGCCTTCGGCTCAGGTCATGATCCTGGAGTCCCAGGATCGAGTCCCACATCGGGCTCCCTGCTTGGCAGGGAGTCTGCTTCTCCCTCTGACCCTCCCCCCTCTCATGTGCTCTCTCTCTCTCATTCTGTCAATAAAGAAAATCTTTAAAATAAATAAATAAATAAATAAATAAATAAATAAATAAAAAGAAAAGAGAAGCAAAGGATTCGTATTTGAGAAGGAAGTTTAGGGACACCCAGCTGGCTCAGTTGATGAATCACGCAATTCTTAATCTCAGGGTAGTGAGTTTGAGCCCCAGTTCAGTGCAGAGATTACTTAAAAATAAAATCTTAAAAAAAGAAGTTTTCTTTTAAATGGGTGAGTTAAAAAGGAAAATTATTTGTATTTATATATAAAAATATATTTATATATACAATATATGACACCCCAATATATGGCAGGTTTTGGTTCTGAAAGTAAAACCAAAAATCCCAGATGAATATCCAGGTTTTTATGCAATTATAACAGTACCCTGGAATCCCCTCAAAAAATTTAACTTCTTCCCTCAAAACTACAACCTACTTTAGTGTCATTGTGGGGAATTTAAAAAAAAAAAAAAAAACTGATTAAACCAATCACCACGATTTAGTAATCTGGGGGCTGACTTTATATTAAATTCATTCTAGAAATGCAAGATTTGTCTCATAATTGTATTTGACTCTTTTATCTTACCGAAATACTAAAGCTTTGTAAAATCAACGAATCCATAAGAATTTGCATCCTTCAGTTCCTTTTCCTTTTTTCAGAGAATGCAAGTGAGGCTGTCCACGGGCAAATGTGCACGTGTGCAAAAGCACACAGAAATGCACACACATACACGTGACATAGGAGCAAGTTCAAACTCTCCAACAGTCAAAGGGAGACATACATTCATACATTTCTTAGGAATATTCATATGCATTTTTGTCTACTGTAGGATTGAGCAGTGGTGGAGACACACACACACACACACACTTAAAGCAAAATGTTCGAGGAAAAGTTATGCTTTTAATTTCTTTGCCAGGGAGATGGAAAAAGGCAAACTCATCCAACAGGGCTTTTAATGTCTTAAAGTATCCCAGAGAGGTTATTTGTAATAGTTTTAAAATGCACAGAGGTCAACCCTAAAACGAATGGGAACAGTGGGTGCAATCAATATTACCTGAATTTAAATTCTTATAAATGACATTCTCTCCGTCCAAGCTAACCACAAAAAATAACTCCTAACCAAGTTTTCCAAGGGCAATGAGTACACTTAGAAAGGAGAAAACAGAAAAAGGAACAGGAAAGTGCCGAGCCCTGGTCTCACCTCTGGCTCTTCCAGTGTATCCTCTTCAACGGGAGTTTTCTGGAGCGGATCCAAGATGCCATTGCTGGAAGGCCTCCTGTCCTCGGCGGGAGAAGCGTAGGCCTCCTCCGAGTCTGTTTCCACCACGTGGAGGTGTCCCGCTTCTTCCTGGCTCCAATCCAATTCGTCTTCAGACTGTTTCAAGGAGTTACTGCTGCTCTTGGGAAAGATCCCTGCTGTCGACAGGCTGCTGGGCACCGAGGTGTAGGATGACTGGGGCCCACAGTAAGGCCGCCCCTCCGGGGCCAAGGCCTCTGCCTCCAGGAGGTCGGGGACAGAGAGGCTGAGGCGGCGGTCCAGGGAACGCCTTGCTCGTAAGTCTAGGGGCTTGTTGGAGTTCTTTTTCCCCCTCTTCTTGCTCAGGTTGATTAACAAAGGCCTGGTCCGCTGTTTCAAAGAGCCCCAGACAGACGGTTTATCCATATCCATGACTGCATGAAGACCCAGCAAGTCACTCCATGAGAGAGCGCCTCTCTACAGGAAACAATTCTGTGGCTCCTAGAAAACACGATCTAAGGAGAGAGAACATAAATGAGCCTTCTCGGCAGCATCCAAGTACATTAAAGTGTAAAATATGATTGGAAAGTCTCACACTTTCCACTAAGTGACCAAACATTTGATTGGTAATGTCTGCAAATATTTTTTTAAAAGCATTTTTAAGAAACTGAATTTTTCAGATTTTTATCAGAGTAGTTACAGAAAAATTCTAGTAATGAATGGAACTATGAGGTTGATGTGAAAAGAGTGTTTCATAAGAAGACTGCTTTCTCTGACTTGGTTCACTCAACATCATGTCCTCCCTCCTGGTTCAGCCATGTTGTTGCAAATGGCAGGATTTCCTCCTATTCATATGGCTAACTCATATTCCATTGTTTATATACCTCACATTTTTTAATCCATCCGTCCCTCAATAACCACTTAGATTGTTTCCTTATTTTGGCTACTGTGAGTAATGCTGTAGTGAACAAGGGAGGGAGGAAATGCTGGTTTCATCTTGGGAGGATATATATACCCAGAACCATATGATACTTCTAGTTTTAGTTTTTTGAGGAACCTCCATATTGTTCTCCACATGTCTGTGTCAGTTTACCTTCCCACCAATAGTGCACAAGGCCTCTCTTTCTTCCACATCCTCACCAAAACTTGTGATCTCTTGTTGGGTTTTTTTTTTTTTATGTTGTTAGTCACCATACATTGCATCATTAGTTTCTGATGTAGTGTTCCATGATTCATTGTTTGCGTACAACACCCAGTGCTCAATAATAGCCATGTATAGTTGAAGTTTGGCTCAGAGAGTAGATCTTCCACACATACACACAGATAGTAACTATGTGAGGTGATGGATATGTTAATTAACTTGATTGTGGTACTCATTTCATAATGCATATATAATTAAATCATCATGTTGTATACCCTAAATATACATACATACATATACATACACACACACACACACACACACATAATTTCTACACATACAATATTTGTTTGTTTCCTGAATTAAACTTGGGGGAAAAAAGACTACTTTCTTATGTCCTATCCAGGGAACGCAGAGCCAAAAATTACTACCACAATAACAGCATCTTTAATCGGTATTATCAAATAACTGGTGCCTTTTAATGTCTGAACCAGGGTAGGCAAACAGTTTCTGTATAAGACCAGTTAGTAAATATTTTAAACTTTACAGGCCACATGGTGTGTCACAATTACCAATTCTGCTGTTTTGGCACCAAAGGAGACATGGACAACACCTCAATCAGTGTGGCTGTGTTCCAATAAAACCTGATTTACAAAAGTGGAGCAGACTGTAGTTGGACAATCCCTGCTTTAAACTTACCATCTTGTTTTCCAGCATAACAGGTGCATTTTGAAGGACAAACACATACTCACACAGACAAAAATTCCACCTGATATCTTAAAACTTTATAGTAAAATAAGGTTGACTGAAGAGAAAATCATTTATAGAAGTGAGAAATCCGTTCTTGTTCCAATGTACCAAGTCAGAAAAATTGACAAAACTGTAAGGGAAATCTCAAGAAATGTAAGCTTCAGACCCTTAACTTGAGAATGTATGATTAAAAGTGTTTCCCCACAAACAGTCCCCATGAATGACAGGAATGCTTCACAAATACATATGTAATTATACAGAGTGGTAAATGCTATGCAGGAAAGTGGGTAATTTGACATATTACAGATTGGTCTCATTAAGGATCAAATCAAAGTCAAATCTGGATGCAAAAGAATTAAATTGACCACTTTCTTTCATCATCCACAAAAATAAACTCAAAATGGATTAAAGACCTGAATGTGAGACCTGAAACCATAAAAACCCTAGAAGACAACACAGGCAGTAATCTTTTTGACATTGGACAGAGCAATATTTTTCTAGCTATGTCACCTGAGGCAAGGGAAATAAAAGCAAAAAGAAACTATTGGGACTATATCAAAATAAAAATCTTGTGCACAGTGAAGGAAACAATCAACAAAACTAAAAGGCAACCTGCTGAATGGGAGAAGATATTTGAAAATGACATATCTGATAAAGGGTTAGTATCCAAAATATATAAAGAACTTATATAACTCATCACCCAGAAATCAAATAATCCAATTAAAAATGGGCAAAAGACATGAACAGATATTTCTCCAAAGATACCCAGATGGCCAACAGACACATGAAAAGATGCTCAACATCACTCATCATCAGGGAAATGGAAATCAAAACTACAATGATGTATCACCTCACACCTGTCAGAATGGCTAAAATCAAAACACAAGAAACAAGTATTGGCAAAGATGTGGAGAAAAAGGAACCCTCATGCACTACTGGTGGGAATGCAAATTGATGCAGCCACTGTGGAAAACAGCATGGAGGTTCCTAAAAAATTAAAAATAGATCTACCCTTTGATCCAGGAATTGCACTACTGGGTATTTACCCAAAGAATACAAAAACAGTAATTCAAAGGGATACATGCACCCCTATGTTTACTGCAGCATTATTTATAATAGCCAAACTATGGAAGCAGCCCAAATGCCCATCAGGAGATGAACGGCTAAAGATACACACAAACACACAGCCATAAAGAAGGAAATCTTGCCATTTGGAACAATACGGGTAGAGCTAGAGAGTACAATGCTAAGTGAAATAATTTAGAAAAAGACAAATACCGTAAGATCTCATTTATATGTGTAATTTAAGAAACAAATGATCAAAGGAAAGAGAGAAAGAGAGAGAGAGAGAGAGAGAAACCAAGAGAACAAACTGATGAGAGAAACCAAGAGAACAAACTGATGGTTACCAGAGGGGAGGTGTGTGGGTAGATGGGGGAAATAGGGAATAGGGATTAAAGAGTACACTTATCATAATGAAAACTAATAAAATTTTTTAAAAAGAAAATTATCTGAAGGTCTTAGGGGTTTAATCCAAAAAAAAAAAAAAATCAAATTTGGAGAAATAAACCATATTCTAGGTGTCAAATAGCTCATAAGAGATCCTTCCAATATGAAAAAGAACAGTAGGGTCAGGTAATTCTGATATGGCCTGTACTTACATTCCATGTTTGGCTGAGGACAAAATAGGCCAAGAGCCACAAGAAAACACATTTTCTAAAATCAAGGACTCCAAGCATTTGTACCCAGCCCTATCTTACTCTAGGACAGGATATTTAGTCATTGGGAAGTCACTGCATTTTGAAGAGCAGCACTATGAAAGTCTACAGCTTTTGCTGGATCACTGGATGACCACCAGTCGAGGCAATAGCTTCTTCCAGGATGAAATGCGTATCTTCAGAAGGTAATGCAGAGATGAAGAGCTTGGGTTCCAGAGACTGATTTCATGATCTGGAATTTTGCTTTGCCACATTTTACTTAGATGTACTATTAGGGGCAAGTCATTGTAGTAAGCCTCAATTTCCTCACCAATTATTCAATGGAGATTATAATATCTAGTGTGCAAACCAAATGAGACAAGGTGTGAGGCACAGTGTCAAATGCAGAGAAAGTATTCAGCCAAGAAAAGCTATTTTTTATCATTACTGATACTGTTGTCATAATTTCCAATTTTGATATCTTAATTTATTCAAGAGCTCTGTATCTCATTATTATTTACATTTTACGGAACTGTACCATAACTACTTCATTGGCCTCTTGTGAGGACTGAATGAATTAGTCTATATAATGTGTTTAGAACAGTTCTTGGCACAGAGAAAATATTTAAGATAATGTTAGCTAGTTTTTAAATTGTTATTTCACTTATTTCACACTGAGTTATTCCAGATTTGAAAATATTTACCACTTTTTCCTGCTTTGTAAAATCTAAACATAAACTTGCATTTCACATTAGCAAGACACAAATACATTATTTAATTCACATCTCATGGCTTAACTTGCAAATATGTTAAAAAGGATTGCTTCTATAGTCATTTAGAAATATTTTAGTCAATTAGCATTTAATGGAGTGTTATATAAATGTTTATTAGATCTAGTTGGTTGATGGCTCAATTCTTCTATACTCTTGATTTTCTTTCTACTAGTATTACCTAGAGAGAAATGCTGGGTCTCTCAATTATAACTGTGAATTTGTATATTTCTCCTTTAGTTCTGTCAGGTTTTGCTTCTGTATTTTGAACTTTTGTTATTTGTATACATGTTTATAATTGTTATATCTTCTTGCTGTTTAAATCCAATCTGACAGACTCTTTTAGTTGGTTTGTTTAGACCATTTACATTTAACTTAATAATTGATGTTTGTATTATATGAAGGTTTCTCAATGTATTTGTTTCCACTGTTTTTTATTCTTCTGTTTCCGTTCCTTGTTTTTCCTTCCTTCCTTTGTTTTTAGTGTTCATTTTAATTCATCAATTGTGATTTTGTCTATATTTCTTTTTATAAAATTCCTATCAGACAAGGTTTTACTTTGATTTCGATCATGAACCATATTTTAAATAATTCAAGAAGAGAAGAACGGCCTATTATACTTACCATTTCCTCTGTTCTTAATATTCCAAATTTCTCATATCAGTTCCCATCAGTCTAAGAAATTTTCTTAACTAGTTATTTTATAGCAAGTCTGTTGACTACAAATTCTCTTGATTTTACCTGATATGAGAAGATCTTCATTTCACATTCAAGGATATTATCATTGAATCCTGGACTCTGCACTTTTATTTCAGCACTTTAAAAATGGTAAGACATTTCCTCTGGCCTCCATGATTTCTGCTGAGAAATCTGTCATTTGAATCACTGTCTCCTATAGATAAGGTGTCACTTTTTCTCTGACTGCTTTCAAGATTTTGTCCTCAGTTTTAAACAGTTATGATATGCCTGGGTGTGTATCCTTTGGGTTTATCTTGTTTGGGGTAGCTTAGCTTCTTGAATCTGTAAGGTTATATCTTTTGTCAAACTTGGGAATTTTGCAGCCATTATTTCTTGGAATACTCCTTAGCCACACTCTCTTTTCCTTCTGGGACTCCAATAATATAAACATTATATCTTTTGTTAATTGTCTAAC